CCTGTAACCCGTTGTCTGCACACTTTAAACCCCTGAAGCTCCACAAGCCATAAACCCAGACCCACGGGAGGGTTCAAAAAGTAGATCCCTTAAGGGGGTTCCTATTAAGTGCCCTTTAGTAGTTAGGGTCCCAAATTAGGGGATCTACCTTTTTAGATCCTCCCGGGGGTCTGGGTAAACCCCTAAACCTCCACAAGCCATAAAAGTCGGAGAGCACGCCGTAATTAAGCCGAATTCTGAAACAGTAAGTTAAATCTCAAACCCTAAACCCTAAACCTCACCCTGCCGCCATGAATGTTAACCTCAAGTAAGTCTGAGCTCCATCGGAGATCGGTTTAGGGTTTAGGGTATAGGGTTTAGGTTGATGATATACATCCTGCACTACCCATAAAAAAGGAAGATACACAAAAATCCCATAGCTTGGGATCCTTAATGTCATGCAGGATATGTATCATCAACAGTATGTCCTAAACCCAGTGAGTCCACCGTGAACCGTAAATCCAAACCCGTATATAGGTCCTAAGCCCTGAGCCCTTCTAAGCCCCTATAAGCCCTTAGTCCTAAATCCCCCTAAGCCCTAAACCCTAAGCCTCACCGTAAGTCTAAACCTTAGGCCTTAGGGTTTTGGGTTCAAACCCAAAGTCTTAAAAACCCCTACGTCCTAAACCCGAAACTCCTTATTCGCTAAGTCCTAAACCCGCCGAACCCCAGAGACTCCAATATCCCTTAATTAATTCAGGAATATTCCTTAAACTATAGTAGGATCCTTAATATGATTTAAGGTATATTCCTTATTTAAGGGATATTGGAGTCTCTAGGAACCACCAGCTCCGATCCAGACCTCTTCTCTGGAAGATGGCGGTGAGTTTCAGGTGCCTTAAGCTTAGTTCTCCAATACCTAACCCTTTAAACTTTTTTGGCTTTAGGGCTTAGGGTTTAGGGCTTAAAGTTTAGTAATAATCTGAAAGTTTAGCCCTTGATTTTCGTTGCGTATTGGGGAAGTAATAAATCAACAAATTTCTCAACACACCGTCGCGGCCTCGCAGCTAAAAACCCCCTCAGCCTAAATCCTCAACCACAAGCCCTAAGTGCAAAATGACGAGCTCCATAGCCTGGTTTGAAATCTTCCTTCTTCTAGCTGCAATACCCTAAACCCTAAACTTGGATACTGCCCCCACTCCGTAACAGTAATCTTCAAAACATGGATATATAAGGCCCTGAATCGTAGCCCTATTATAGACTGTGACTGTATGGGGGCAGTACCCTAAACCCGAACCCTAAAACCCTAAAGCCCTAAACTTTAGCCCTAAACCCTAAAGCCCTAAAGCCCCCAAAAACCCCAAAGCCCCTAAAACCCAAAACCCTAAAGCCCCTAAAACCTTTAAAGGCCCTTTAAAACCCTAAACCCCAAAACCCTAAAACCCTACAACCCTAAACACCTAAAAGCCCCTAAAACCCCAAAACCCCGACACCCTAAAGCCCCTAAACCCCAAAACCCTAAAACCCTAAAGCCCCTAAGACCCAAAACCCTAAACTGCCCTAAACTTTAAAAAAACCCAAAACCCGAAAAACCCGAAAGCCCCCTAAAACAGGCTCCTGCCGCCGAGGGAAAGCATGAGGCAGTACGCGCCTCCTGCGGCACCTGACCAGGCCGAGATTGGGGGCTTAGGGTTTTAGGGTTTTTTTAGGTTTTCTTAAGGGTTTTTTACGTTTTTTTTGGGGTGTTTTTTAGGTGTTTTAGGGTTTTTGAGGGTTTAGGGGTTTTAGGGTTTAGGGTTTTAGGGTTTAGGGTGTAGGGGGTTTTAGGATGTTTTAGGGTTTTAGGATTTTTTTAGGGTTTTACGGGTTTAGGGTTTTAGGGGTTGAGGGTTTTAGGTTTTAGGGGTTTAGGGGTTTAGGGATTTAGGGTTTAAGGGTTTTAGTGTTTAGGGTTTTTAGGGTTTTAGGGTTTTAGGGTTTAGGGCTTCAGAGCTTTAGGGCTTTAGGGCTTTGGGTGTTTTAGTAGGGTTTTTAGGGTTTAGGGTTTAAGGGTTTTGGGGTTTAGGGTTTTTTGGGTTTTAGGGTTTTCGGGTTTTAGGGTTTAGGTTTTAGGGTTTTAGGGTTAGGGTTTTAGGGTATTAGGGTTTAGGATAAGGTTTTGGAGGCGGGGCAAAGGTTCCCTAGTGGGATCTCCGGTACACCTGGCACCCTGCAACTTGGCGACGCCGTACGCTTAACCTTGATCCCGGACACTCAGTACCACGAGACCATATTCTTCTACATAAATATATATGTTACATGTTTATACATTTAAAAGTTGTATACATCATATATATGTTTATATGTTTATATATGATAGAAAAAATTCTATTCTAGTCTACTCTACACTATAGAATGGATAGGTGGACTTGGTTCTGCACCCCCTGCGGAGCGAGCTCAACTTCCCCATCGGGCCCAAGAATCTCATCGACTTCGCACCGCACCGCTGGCAAATCCCGCTGCACCTGCTGCTCGGTTTTTGAGAACCCGGAGGTCTGGGCTCGGTTTGAGGGGTTTAGGGTTTGGAGTTCAGGGCTGAGATTAGATTTAGGGTTTAGGTTTTAGGGTT